ATTTCTGGGTTTATGACATTCTATCCAGTGCATGGCTTTACCTCACCATTACTCCAAGGAGATTCCAGATGAAAGACATAACAAGACCCAAAAGAGATACATAAAAAAAGCATAAGACATCAATGCAACTTCACTCACTACACAATATATATGCAACTGGATGGTACCTGCATACCAGCAGCTTATTACTTGTGGACTGTTCTCATGGGCATCTTGATGGAGGTGTGCAAGGAGCTCATCTGCGTCAGAGTGGCAGAGTGAAAGTTCCAAGAGGCTCATTTGAAAATTCAGCAGCCGGTCTTCAACATCTCTGTGGTGAATGAAGGATGAGGAAAAGAATGGAAAAGATTTCTTTTTAAGGAGAAGCTGAGGCAGCTTATACTCGTCAGTGCTTAGCACAGCACTTCCCAGCATGGGCTGTGATCTGCCACTGTGCTGTAGTGAGTACAACTGCTGGATCACAGTTCACCATCGCTTCTTGCAGCGAGTCCCTGTCCAGACCCAGAAGTAAAGCTCTTCTGCCCCATGCACAACATACTAAAAGAGGCCACTGAGAAACAGATCCTTTCTGAGGCAGCTGTAAATCTCCTGCTGCAATGGCCTGCTGCTTTTCACAGTGATGCACCTTGTTTCTAAAAGAACCAACCTCTTCTCTTGCCTACCTTTGTCCAGCTAAAATGCATTCATTGATGTACATATTTATTAATATCCTCATTCACTCCCATCTCTGTGACCTCAGCTTCCCCAACTTGCGTCTCTTTTCTGTTAACCCTTTACACACTGCCAAAAGGGATAGCTCTCTAGAGCAGCTGTCTTTGTTTATCTGATAGGGTATTTAGTACCAGGGGATTTAATCTCTTTTTTGAACTTTTGAATAATATTTATGCTTTTTTTTATCACTGCCAACAGTGTCAAAAAAGGTTCTTTCTAATAACGTGTACTTTCCTATAGAGTGGCTCTTATGAAATATGTCCTTGTCATTATTTTTCTGGGACTGTCCAGCAGGAGATGCCAGACAGGTTAATTATTATCATTTATTTGTGCAGGAAAGATCATAAAAGTTCTCTGCAGCAGAAAGCACACACTCCTTGTTGCCAGAAAGCAGATGCTGCATGAATAGAGGCAGGAGAAGCCACCTGTTCACCGTGTGGTGATGCTTCTGCCTTCAGGCCAGAAACACCACTTCTAGGAGTCAGAAGAAAATTTAGTCATATTGCCTTGTTCTCTCCTTCTCCACTCTGGTGCATCAGCTAAAGAGGGTGCTAATTTTGGACAGTAACTGAATTTTGCCATCTGACCTTTTATTCAAGGGTAGGACAGGCCATCAAACCCACGTAAGCCACAGCAAAACAAGCCTCAGGAAGAGCAGATGGCATAAGACAGCAAGATAAAAGCTCTGAACATAGTCCCAGCCTTCAAAGCTACTGGGCATCCTTGTCCTTTAATAAATCTTTAACTCAAAGCCAGCACTGCATTTCCACTCTGTAAACATTAACTTTCAGGTCAAAGAGAAAGTAGATGTGTGTGGGTTAATCACTCACTATTTCACTTCATGCTCCTCATAGTCAAAAGTATGACTGAATTTCTGGTTGGTCTGCCCACACAGCACAGACTTCATTTGGTTGATCTAGTCAAGAAAGAGCATGTGTTTTTATTTACGAGCTTGTCTTGTATTCAAGATCTTTTTGAGAGAAGTCTGTGCCGGTATGCCGAGAATAAATTTCCCTGTGCAATTTCAAGAGGTATGGAACCAGAATTTCCGTGCATTGATAAGCCCGAGGGGCACAAGCTGTATCTTGGTGATATAATGCCAACGCAGGAAAAAGAAAACGCATTTCTGTAGCTAATGGTCTTTGCAGCAGGGGTTGGCTAAGCAGATGAACTGCCAAAGCCAGATTTCACAGTCTCTTTGCTGCCACAGATAGCTCTGATCACCTAAACCACCTTCCTCACAAGTATGCTGGGGGACTTTACCTCAAAGCTGTGCTAAGGCACATCTTTCAGAATGCTACCCCGAAAAGCCCCAAACATTGACAAATCTGCCTTTATCCATTACCTGTTCCAGGCATCATCACTCTCACTGTTAGGGAACTACATCTAATTTAAAGGTCCATTTAGACTTAGGTCCTGAGAATCACTGTTTATTGCAGCTTTGCCTGCACACGTGGAAAGCCCTTGCACTGCTCACATAACCACAATGAGTGATGAAGACTTCTCAACTTCTGCGTTGGGTTCTCATGTACCAAAAAGAAACATGTTTTCCCCACTTACTGATCAGATGTTAGAATAAACCCACAGTAGCACAGGTGGATAATACTAAGAATAACACTTCTGGCTACATGCAACAGGCCCCCACTAGGTAGGAGAGCTTTGCCATTGATTGGACATTTGAGATTAAAGAAAAGTGGGACTGTTTTTATTCTCCCTCCCCTCTTCCACCTGATATCTATGTGTTCTTTTCCAAAACCAGTGTGTGTCTGAGGACCTAACGCACAGCGCTGCAGTGAAGCACACCCTGAGGAAAGCTTTACCTCTATGTGCTTTCTGGTTACTTGCCAGCCAGTGACAGGTTCATCAATATCGATAATGGCTTTTTGTCGAAGAAAACTAGTGCACTAAGTCACAGACTTGCTCAACCCTATAAAGGAATCAAAGTAACCAGCTCCTCAAAACGAAAGTGAGACAGGAACATGACTTCTAATAGGAAGAGCTGACTAACAAAAGAAATAGGAGGATTAAGCTCCCTTTGCTGAAAAGCAGAAGCAGGTTTTCGATCACTGAAAACTGTCACCTTGTTATCCATTGAGAAATGAGAATTCAAGCTCTGACTTTACCATACCTGAGCGATATTGACTGCAGGCTACGACACAGTAGTTCATATCTCATTTGTGACAAATGGAGCATACTGCAGTTGCCTCTGAAAATATAATCAATAATGAAAATTTGTATTAAGTTTGCACCCAAACCCCCATTACTGGATAGGTTTCACATCCTTAAAAAGCCAGCAGCACCTTTGACAAAGATGGCTGCAAGGAGCGTGCAAGCCTGCTGCTACGAGGCCAAAAATGTATGACCCAAGAATGTAAGGTTACTGTACACACAGGTTTCCTACTTTTCTTCATGGAAATCCAGAGGGGCAGATCTGGTGAGCTTTCAGTATTTAGGACATATTTGTGCTTCTCACTATCCCCCCAGTCATCAAAGTGGTCATAGATCAACCAGAAAGCTCTGCCAAGCCCCTTGGGAAGAGTGGAGGCTCATTGTTTATTTACTTTGCATCTCACCTGCCTGTGCATGGGAGGTCTAACATGTCTCACATGTACCTGCATGAGCCATCTTCACTGACACCTCTGGTACAAACATCTGCCTGGGAAATAACACAGACAGATCAAGTATCTTGATTTTAAAGGGAGTGAGTAACAATGTTTCAATGTCAAATGTGTGTGCCTGTGACAGATACCAAAGACAGACAGCAGGAGAGATGTGGGAAAACAGAGAGACAGAGACTTTGGGTGGTATAGCAAGGAAGACAAAGCATGGCAGAGAGAAACAGAGAAAAACAGGAAGAAAGGGGAAACCAGAGGGCAGGGTAAGTGTGACACAGGGAAGTCTGGTGTCACAGCCCCAAGTCTGGAGGTGAACCTTGTTTTGGGCAGCTGACACAGGTAAGATGCAGAAAGGAATCTAACTCTGGCTGCTCACACAATCCTGGTTCTGACAAGAAGCTAGGACTTCCTGTAAAAATAAATATAACATCAGCATGCATGAATCCAATATACATCACCTTGTCATAAAAGGAAAAAATATACCTAATTGCAGTTGCCTGCCAAGATCGAAACAAATAAAATACTTAATCTGTACTAGAGGCCTATTTTAAAACCTACAAACAGGCGAGCTGCAACCAGGGCTTTGGCCACTCTACAGCATGCTGAGCTACGTTCCTTTCCGATTACTTGAAGAGGGCTACTTTGGAAAGCCCCTGCCTCCAAATTGAAGACCTTTGCAACCATCTTTTAATGCAACATCTCACAATAAATGGCCTCCCTTACTCTGCAACACTTCCAATTCCCCTAAAGAAGCCAGAGGGTGAAGGAAGAAATAGTGCTAGCTTGCTTGTTCTGCTCTGCAATTCCTTAGGAACCTGAGAGAGCTCAGATCTGGTTACCCTAGGACAGCACCTGACCTTGAGAAAATAATTTTCATTGTCAAAGGATCACAGAGAGACATTGGTGCTGTCATGAGCTGCATGGCTCAGACATAGGTTATTTACTATTAATATTTTGGTACCCTCTTTTATTTGGTTGTAAACTAAATGTGTACTAAGAACCCATTTCATACAGGCATCTAAAAACTTACTGCACACTCATGTTTACAAATGCTCCAAGACCTTTCTGGAAATGGCCTAAGGAAAAGCATGGTATCCATATTTGTAATAAGTTTGACTGGTGCACCTAGCTGTCACTTTTGTGCCTGATTAGTGGCAATAGGCAGTTTTCCATTTATTTCCTAGCAGCTGCTAGAAGGGCTGCAGGCAGAGGTAATCTGGAGTCTGCAGAACTCTGCTCCCTGCCAATTTCACACCAGCATTTCACTTTCTTCTATCCCCATTTATTATTAATCTCTATTTATATCTAACTCCAGCTCTTAGTTAGCCTTTGCCAGAGGCTTAACCATTAGAGGTGACTGTGAGAAAGGAGCTGAAAGTAGAAATTGACATAAATCAGGCTTTTACTACTCCACACTATTCTGGGGAGGTGAGAAACCATGCAAAGCTTGGGCTATTTAGGAAGACAACAGCTTGCACAATAGATCAGACCAGGTAAAGTCTCCTTTATAGTGCTAAATATGTAAAGAAAACATCTGTATTGCAGAACTTTCCTTATAATCACGCTCAGTACCTATTTTTTACACAGTTTTATATCACTTCTAAATTTCTATCCATTCTAATTCAGAGGATGTTCCCATATTTCATGTTTTCTGAATCCACTTAGCCCTCAGGCTCAGAAAGACCACGTCACATTTGTTCCAAATAAGCATTGTATAAAAACATACCTTTCCCATCAGTTTTCAAAGCATTGCCTTTTAATTTAATATAAAGAACAAGACCAGTCAATTATGAAAAGACAAAAACCTGATTCACTTTGTCCTCTCCAAGTAAACAATTTTAATTCAAGCAGCAGAATTAACACCACTTCTTTTCTGCTAACGATTTTCTTTTTTTAATGTTTCAAACCTTTTCTTCATATATTGCCTTTCTTTTTTCCCTTTTGAATAGGATGAACAGCGTGTTCCAGGTGAGACAACACCATTCATTTAATAAAGGCATTCTATTAGTTTCCAGACCGTTCCTTACCCATTTTGTTCACTTTACAGTAAATGTGAAGCCCACTCAGTGTCACCTTTCCTTTAGAGGTAAAATGAATGCAATTCATTGCAAAGACTGTCCCTAAGTTTCCCAAAATGGAGAGAAAGATGTCACACAGACATGCTGTGCATAAAGTTTCCCACAGCAGTGAGAGATATTCAACTTATTGCACACTTTCCCCAATTGTTCCCATATATCCGGACAGCCTGCAATCCTAAGAAAGACTCTAGGCTTCAGATTAGGCTTCTGGAAATCCTTCCCCAAGTCTTTTCCAACAATAGCAGCTTCAGCAGGCTAGCCAGTTGTAATATTTTACTCTGCTTGACATAAGCATTATCTTTGAGCATCCAGTTGGAATGGGAATGTCATTAGGAACTCAGAGAAGTCATCTTCCACTTCTTCAGTGTTCAGTCATAATGAAGGCTCTTCAGTGTTCCTCCTCCAAACCTTTTCCTTTCAGAGAAGCCAGGAACCTAAAGACAGGGAAGATAAGTTGCCATGTCAGAATCAGCATGAGCTCTCTCTAGCCCACATCTGAGTGCCTGTTAGCAAGCCAACTGCAGTATCCTCTTCCACACCATCTCCACAGTCAGGACTACAATGCTTGCTGCTAGAGGAGCACCATTAATTAAACACTGCACAACTTGAGTATGGCTCATTTGTTCTGTGGTATTCCTTAAGGCTTTTTTGGCAAGGGTTACAATGAAAGCCTTAATTTCTCAGGCAAATCCTAAACTAGTTAATTACAGATTTCAAAGTCTGTGTTTCCCCCCAGATTCAAATGCACACAAGAATTTTTCCTCCATTCATTTTTAAAACTATCAAATGGTGTAATCAAGTCCTATTAAAGAGCTGTCGAGGCTTTATGCCTTCAAACCCGGGACAGCAGCACTTCACTGGCAGTTTAAAGCACAGTTTTATCAACTGCTGAAAGCTTTAGGAAAACTGTCAGAATAGAAATGGCTGCAACAATACAAAGGATTAGGACTCCTGCTTTTGCAGCCAATCTGTAGATACCACTTACACCGCGACAATGGATGTTTACAAAGAAAATCTCCTTGAAACCATCAGAGGCTTCTCTGGTTTAACAGTATTTTGGACGGATTTTCAATCCAATACATCTGTGAATCCCCAAAAGAAAGTGATGCACTGCCTTCTAATATTCCATAAAATATCTGTCCTACTGGCATCATAAAACTGATTACAGTCTAGTAAACTTTTAGCTTACTAACTACACACAAGCAGAAAGAGCAGACCCAGTAAACACATCCTCCCAAAACAATTCTACGCTTCCACAAGAAACAGAATACATTAAAATGGAAGGTGTCAGCTGTTGGGTACAGCCAACTAAGTACTACAAATCATGCCAGGAGAACATCAGCAGGTATGGACAGTATGGGACAAAAACGTATTTTACAATCCAAAGTAGACTGCTCAGGTTACACACTTCATTGGTAAACTGATAAAGCTAAAGAGCTTTCCCAAAATAAAAGTCCACTAAGAACTCCACAAATTAATTTACTTGGGGTTTTCAGACCCCAAACTCAAACACATATGCAAGGTGTTCATTGAAGTATTGTTTTATTCATCTCTGAAAAGCAATATCTCTAAGGGAAAAATCAGGCAGATTTTGCACAAAGGCTAATCTCAGGAAAACTGCTTTGGGAATTTAAAAAGGAAAATCATTACAACTAAAAAGTAGTTGGTAGGTAAAAAGTTTTCTGCTTTAGCATTTTAAAATCAAAATCGCTAATTAAGAGCAACAATTATTTATTTATTAGAGATCTGACTGAAGTCATAGCTGCGAACAATTTGAAACTTATCATTCTTTTCATCCTGAAGAAGTCTATAACAGAAATACCTCAAAACATGAATTATCAAAGCGACCTATTGTAGAAAACCCACAAACACACTGGTAAGAATTACATTAAGTAGATGTACATTAAGAGGCTATATTCAAACCTCCCTTTCCAATTTGGATTTTTCTCTTTAAACATAACTGCCCACTGCTTAATATTTGTTTTAAGCTTTTGAGCTCTTGTCAGTGAAGCAGATGAAAACAGTCATCAGCAGGCTGTAATCTTTGGCACACAGCCATAAGGAATATATAGTTAATCCCTGGCTAGCCACTAAATATGATCCAACAATAAAAGTAAAAATCTTACATTATGCATCAAAGACAACCAGCTACACAAGCAGATTTCTGCATTAAGCTATTATCCCCATGAAAGGGAAACTTCCTTTCACTAGAATGTGGAGAGGAGGGGAAAGGAGAGGAAAAAAAGACATCATGCTGAACTGAAAGAGGCAAGAGCAAGAGCAAGAGCAAGTTTATTTTTAAAAGGCACTAAAAATTGCTTAAAGAAAGGAAGCATTTTGTAATTTGTGACTATTTTTTTCCCTGCTCTCCCTAAGGGGCTTTCAGCACAGCTACCTCTAATGATACATTTGACTGTATTTTAGTGATGCTATTCATGGTAATTTGCAAGTACCTGACAGATAGGGCAAATGTAACCTCGCTACTCTCTGTGGGGAGGTGGGGGACAGGAGAAGTTGAAGTGGTTTGCCCAAACCAGAAGTCATTTTGTAGTTCTTCACCAACTGTGCTGAAAACACTAAATTCAGTCATTTAGGAATGAATTACAAGCCAGTATTAAACTCCCATTTTTCTTGTGGCTCCACTGGGTCTGTGAAAACTATTTGTGCAAGATAAAATACTAGTTCCAACTGTGCAAAACCAAGCCTTTTCACCGACCTTCCAGATAGCATTTCTGGCCTAAATCTGCAACCAAGAAGCTGACAGCTGAAAGAAATCATATTTGCCCACTTCACCTCACTTCTGCAACTTTTACTATGTCAGCATACTTTAGTATTTCATTGCCAATCACATTACAAATACTTAAGTTGACAAAAGTTGGCCATTTTTCTCTCTATCCAAACTAGCTGTGTTCTCACAGATATAAGAACTCAATTACCAGCACAGATTACCATTTAAGTCGCATGAAACCCATGTTTCAAAGAGGATTGTGTCAGCAGTTCCCATTACACAGGGAGAAATCAAACAAAAAGGGAGGGAAAATGACAAACCTGATTGCCGTCTCTTAAGAAGTATCTCTTCTCTATGACCTGGGAACAACAGAGAATGATCTTAGCTTGCACAGCACGTGCATAACCTTGGATTCCAACAAATACTTCACACGTGAGCACGGCAACTCACGGCTAACTTGGACAAGGTCTGAACCCACATTATCTGGTCTGGGTCTATTGCTCTAAGTGCAGTGCTCTAGTACACGTAGGACTTTCCACCTCCAGCCATTCTTAGAAGGGCTGTGTTATCCTCAACTTCCACACACCTAATTTAGTTAGCCCTCCTGGATCATGAAGGTGATGATCTGGGTGTCTCCCTCTGCATCAAAGTCCTTCCTCCCATTCCCTCTCGGCAGGTGTAATGGTTCCACTACTATACAGTAGCTGCTCCACTATGTTATATCCAGGGGGTGCTTAACCAGAGCATTCCTTGTCATTTTCACAGTGGACCTTGATGGTCTCTTTTTCAGGAAGGGAGAGCAATATGCCAATTTTGTTAAATCCTAAACGCTGCTTTAACCAGGATCAACAGAGCTAACCAGTCTTGTAACTCCCCAAATTACTGCCTGAGAACACTGCAACCCCTCTGGCCTGCCAGACAACTTCAAAAGCATATGCTGAGCGTCTTTGCACACTTCTGAATTCTTTTTCACTCCTCTATACAGATCAAGAATCAAATCTTCAAGCAGATCAGCTATTTTCTGGAGGGTTCCAAAAGCAGACCAGTCTTTGGCCTCCCCACACCTGGCTTGAACCAACTCGAAAAGTGGAACGTGAAAGGAGCAGCTAACTGTTGTTCATGTTCAAATCACTGACGGTGTTTGATATCCAGGACCATAAAACATCATTTAATCGACTTACCTTATCAAAAAACCTGCTTAGTTTGACAGCATTGGATGAACCTGCAGCCAGGTAGCGAGGATTGGTGCAATCCTAGAATGCATAGAAGACAACAACAAACCAAGCACACAGAAATCAACACAAAGAAGCCACACGCTTGGAAATCAACACACCCTGTCCCCTGACACAGGCTGTCAGCTCCAGGAAACAGTGGATCTGCTGATTTCTGCTCTACAGTCACTAGAGAGAAAAGGCCAACTTCTAATCTGTGAAACAACTGCAGAATCTAAATAACCCCCTTTGTGCTCCACATCTTCCTTCCATCACCAGCTATCTCAGTCAGATAATGATTTGTACAGGCTACATATGAGATCCTGTGTGTGTATGTGTATGCATTTACACAGCACATGCATATTTTTACACCTACATATCTATATAAAGTGATCTTGATGTTTCATTCAAAAGCAGCCTGTGTCAGAACTATGAGCAAGAAAGAGAAAATTTAACTCAATTAACATCAATTCTAAAGTGTCAGTGACCTGTCATTTAAGACCTGCTACACCTCCCTGTAGTGAAACAAAGATGACTGTTTCATCAAGCAAGGGGTACAGCCAAACAAAATGTGCATGACTCTGGCACTACTGCAAAAGTCTCCAGAAGCCCAATTTTTGTCACAACATCTTTACTTACTAAAAATTGGACTCACTCCCATATAAAAGAAAAACAACACTGGTGACAAAGATACTAACCAAATTTATCTCTTCAGCATTGAAATCCTCAGCCAAGAAAGCTGTTCTGGTCAAAACTTCATTCCGCTTAGTTTCTGGGATCTGATCCAGCTTAGTTCCTATTACCAGCAGTGGAATCTGGTTATCAGCAAACTGTTCACGGTCATAGTCACTGATGAGGGAAACAAATACAATCCTGAATAAGGTGATGTAAGTGGGCACAGAGGCACCCTCAGCTCCCCTGTCCCTTTCAAAAAATGGTAATTTAATTAGTAGGAGTCATGATTTATTTAAGTGAGAATGTGCTGTGTCCATTAATTAAGGAAGGACTTCTGCATCTAAGTCACTACACAGGAATTGAAAGGAAAGAGAAAAGAAACCACATGAGTTGGAGTTCTTCTCAGCACAGATGAACCACAGAAGAAATGCTAATACAGGCAGGAAAGTAACAGGAACTCCAGTATTGTACCGAGTGTATATGCAGACACCAAGGAACGATCAGGGAGCTGGCATCCCTGAACAGCTGAAGTTCCTACATACATACACTTTTTAAGGAGGGACAGTGAAATAAACTGCACCTGTGAAACACTACCCCTTTCCACGTGCGATCAAAGAGGGTTGCAACAACAACTGCATGGTGTCAAGTTATAAATTCTTCTATATTCAAGTAAAGGTAGCCACTATAAGCTGAATTCCAGCAAGCTTTGATTCAAGTATGAAAAATGATCAAAGATAGCCTTTATAAAATAAATAATATTGCAATTAAATGTCATCACAAATCCATGCTTCAATCGTTCTCCAGGATAGTCACTTGTCTTTCATTTTTACCTAAACCAAGCTTTCTGGAAAGTAATTTTACAACAACAGCAACAACCTGACCAAGTGATTGCTAGTGGCCAAGCATCTGTCCTTGACAAGAATCTGTCTGTGGAAAAGTGGAGAATTTTACAGTTTATACAATGCAAATCCCCTTTCTCACCTCCCATGTTTCTACAGAAACACCTGTGTACCAGCACAGGTAGATAAATAATAGATATTTTTCCCACGAAAAGCTACTCTTTATTACTGCCTTCCTGCTCATGTGTGATGTTTATCAATGATCTTAAAACCTCCTTGACTACATGCGTAAGAGGAGCACAGAGGTACAGGAGGAAACACTTGACAAGATGTTGGAAAGCTAATTATGAACATGCTTATGGAGCAGTTTTTTTAAGCTCTTTCAGCCATACTCCTGAAAAAATTCCCTCATCATCCAAACCAAAGATTTATGAAGTAAACTTCCTCAGTCTGGGTACATGAAAGGAAAGCCTTCTGGAACAGACATACCATCTCGTGACATTTCCTGTATAAGCACACATGTCAGTGCAGACAAAGAAGTCTTCAGGTATCAGGGACTTGACCCACTTTCACAGAGGCCTCAAGCAAATGAAGGATGCAGTAAAAATCTCTTCCCTTAAAGCAAGGTCTCTGCTACACAGTTTGGGAATCTACTGTCAGAATGGCCTGACTGGCAGTACAAAACACAAAGAACAGCAACTTTCTTTGATATTCCCAATTTTTTCCTTCCTTTCTTAGAAGCCTAGCCACATGTAGTTTCCTGTGCACTCCAAGCTGCCTGAGGGATGAACAAAGACTTCCAGAACAGCTTAGAATTACTGTGTCTTAACTCTGTACATATGTGTTACACTCACCCATTTGTCACAAGAACTCCTGTTGGAGCGACATCTCTGTTGAGCGCTTCCAAAGTCCAGCGATACAAATTCTGGGACGATTTTTTGTTGGTTAAGTCATGCACTAAAATTATCCCTAGGGTAAAAGAAAAGACAGCAAGATGCTATTTAATGATACATATTTTTTTCTTATCTTACCAAAATGACATCTGCAGGTTTCCAGATATCTGAGAAGGAAGAAAGGGATGCATAACCAGTTCAGTTACAGCGAATGAGTAAGGCTGAAAATATCAGGATGCAACAGGTTTTTTAAAGCTGCTTATCAGGAATTGGATAAGAGCTTAAGAGAAAAATCTCATGAAAGGAGGAAACAAACAGCCACCTCAGAGTTTAATCCACAAAAGGCTTGCAGGCATTCCCAAATTCTGCTCTATTTCTAATGATACTGAAATTCTGTATTACTGCAGCAGAGAATTTAGCCTTTCTCTGTTTTACCTAACTTGTAAACATAATTATCCTTCTGTCACACCATCTAAGACATCTAAAGGCTTTTTCTTTGTTTCAAAGAGGTAAGAGAGCACTATTCCTTTCCTGCATTTTCAAGAATTAATGCTACATTCTTAGGGAGATATCCAAAGGGGAAACAGGCAACGATAAACTTTCACAGTTCACCAAAATTATAATTCAGATGCATAAGTTCAAGATTTCATGTCCTATTGGGCTGCTTTAGGATATTTCCTGGTAGAAACATGAATTAATAAGATTTCTTGTATTTAAGATTAAACTACTAGCATTTTTCATTACCATGAGCCTTCAAAATGTAAACTCTGAGATATAGCCACACTTCCTAGCTGTGCTATTAACAGACACCCACCTCTGATAACCACAGTTCCTAGCTCAATTACCAACTACTGCTAGAAAATTTCTTCTATTTATTCACACCTTCTGCAATATGTGGAATGTTCCCACTTCCTCCAGACTTTAAACTGTCATTAATTCAAGGACAAAATGGAATTATACCCCTTATGTGGATCAAGATTCATTCTCAAAACACTTCACAGCCTATAGGTGGAAAAAACTTAGTAATTTAACTTTTCACCTCAACTCCCAAAGGTGCTACCCACCGTACACCTGATCAACAAACCACATTTCCATAAACATTTTCCACTACCCCACATGACTGTGCACAGACTCTCCTGTGAGAGTTCCCAGCATATCACAACCACAGCCCCATCTCAAAACAAATATCTCAGTAACAGCAGAAAAAGGAAACTCAGCTGCGTGTCCACCCTCAGTGTAAGGAGAAAAAGCCTGACACAACGCAACTTGGCCTACAGCAACAGATTCTGAGGCACTGCTGCATAACCTGCGAGGAACACTCTCCACCTCTAAACACTCTCCCTCAGTTATGTTTTTGATTGGTCAGTGCCCTTGTCTGCGTCAGTAAAACCTGCACAGTCGGTTGCACCAGCAGCAAAAGACTGCGTCAACAGGCAAGAAGAGCAGGCAGGACCAATGACTACTCAAGGAAACGTTCCTCCCACATGAAGGCCTGCAAACCAAAGCCTTACTGCCTAGTCCCTGTCCTCAGTTATCACAGTCCACACACCAGATGGAGGGTCAGCAAAACAGATGATTTGTGGTCAATCCAAAACACAAACTGTTCCCAGCTTTGTCAACAGCCCAACAGCCCGCACAGGTGCTGCCACAACCAAGCATTAACTGCCTTTCCGTCTCAGGTTTTCAGACCACTGTAAGCCCAGAAAGCAAAGCAGTCAGGCAGAAGGAACACATTCATCTTCTCTTCTTAAATCAGGTCAAACTGAGGCAATTTGTGAGACAAGCTCTAATGGAGAAATTAATCTAATGAAAGAAACAAGAGCCAAGGTTAACTACCAAAGTCAACACTTTTCATATGTGAGCTGCCTAATAATGTATTTTGGGCAGTGGAGATAAATAACTCGTCTTTTAATAATGTCATCAATTATAATTCAGTTCAGGGTTTCATTTTCTAATGGGCTGTTCCAGGATGTTTCCAAGTCTGACCCACACTCACTGGCATACCGTGAATTTGATGTCAAAAATAAATCCATTTCATCATATACCAAAGAGGCTTCCTTTGAGGGCACAATTCAACTCAAGCCTTACTTACAGGGGACCAGTTAACAATATAAGCAAGAGGTACCTACAAACAGTTTCCCTCCTGGGAAAGGAGGAGGAAAGAACTAGTTAATCGCAGATCAAAAATATTTATTGTGTGGTTTAAGATGTTACTGAAAGGCCTTCAAATTATTTGGAACAAGAAAAGAGAAACAAACAGAACATTTGAGACAGATTTTCAGAAGCAGTTGTTAATCTGATATACATCTATCTGTAGTGAACTATCCTCAGATGACAAAAAAGGAAGAATTTAAATACTGCATTGTTATGTTCATAATCTTTTATCTGCTCATATTAGTGGTAGAAATGAACTAATAGGACTTTAAGTCACTATCTCAAAAGAAGGCATAAAATACTACTTTCTAAACATGCAGCAAGTTGCAAGATTCAATTCTCAAAAATAATCTAACTAAACGAATTATAATGCTAAACTAAATGAGCAGAGGCAAGATAGTTATCAGCATATTGCAGTTTTATGGAAGGCAGTTCAAATTTGCCAAGGTAGGATGCAACTATCAAAGTTCACATAAACTCAAATAATCATTTCCCTGCTGTAGTTTTGCAACTGAACAGACAGGAATTTGTCTGTCAGAAATCACATTTCTGCAGTTAATCAGGCCTGGAAGGGTGAAGGTAACATTTATGTCTGCAAGTGTAGCTGGAAGGGACACTACTGCACCTTTAAAGACTCCCTGCTGTGCCAGCTACACAAGACTGAAGTGAAAGGCTGATAAAGCTCATCTGCACATCTTTGCCTAAAATATCTTTAGAGTTCAAAACGGAATCCATAAAATTCTGCCTGTTAATGTTATCAGGTTTTTTTCCCCTGTATAAATCAGAAAAGAGAACAATATGGCCCTCAGCCAGACCACAAGGAACCCTGCCCCAGAACCAAGGGATGGCTCTTAAGAGAAACAGTAATAAAGTCAGATCTACACCAAGCAAACTCACCGTTTAGCGAGTTATAGAATACTGCTCGTGTGCTTTTCACGCTACTGGCACTACCCACTGAACCTCCAACATCCCACAGCTCAATGTAGTAAGTCTTCTCTTCTGGAGTCCCTTCTTTGTAGTCATGGATCTGGTGAAAAATTCACATAATACATAACCACAGCACCAACTCACAGGAGTTAATCCACATGACACTTACACATTCAGCTGGAAGGATTATTGCACTTGGATGGAAATTTGTAAATTCTCACGATGACACCATTTCAAACCTCTCAAGTGGAAGGAAGAGAGATGGAATGAGTCAAGCAGCAACCCCTGGATACCACAGCTCCTATAGGGAATGGAGCTTGGTGAGTAAGCAGGGAGTATCATTTCCATCTCAGTATGAGCAAACCTAACGCTTCATGACGTGCTTAGAAATAGCATGTTGCTAAAACAAATTAAAAATTAAGGTCTTGACTTCTTACAGTTGTTAAAATCCACACTGTAGTACTGCAGGACTATTAACACAGGCAACCACACTGGATTCCAACTGACCACATCTCTTTGCTCTCCAAATTCTCATCACCATCTCAACTGAATTAATCAACCAACAGCTTTTGCCCCTGGATCTGCCTGGCAGTTTTCCTCCACAGCCAAACAGGAATGCCGCTTTCCAAATTTTGGAAATATATTCCTAATCTAGGGCAACGCGTTTCAAGGAGAATGCGGCAAAGAGTGGTGAAGGAAAAAAGCATTTATCAATGTCCCATGAGGGCTGTAGGTTGGGCCAAAAAACTGCTGGATGGATATCCTCACTCCTCCCACAGCAGGTCCTACAGTGAGGAGTCAGGGGGAGAAGCAACCCTTTGGTGTCACAGTCAGTGCCCACAACCTAAACCAGCAAACTGTTTTTCCCCAGTTTGTTTAGCTGACCACGTGGCTGTGCACTGCCTGTTTCTCAGGGAAGCTTGGTTGGAATTTTGTGCCTTCTGACTTAAACTGGCCGCCCTGTGACTTGTAACTCGCCCGTGGCCACTGCAGTGGGGACAGGGGCTATGAGTGACAAATACCTTGTGTGACTCTGACAACCTAGGAAGGTCAAAACTTGCTCACACAAGTGCGTGGCTCACATATGATGCTATTTGTCTTGAAAGATTAAGTCCTCACCCAATCACACCGTCAAAGCACACCTCTTTCTATGGTGGAAGTAATGAAAATAAAATAATGAAGTCAAGGCCCTTCTCTTCCCCTTACAGTGCGGGCTCAGGGGTACCCAGGGGCCGGGCACGTCACCTACTCGCACATCCACGGAGCAGCCCACTGTCCAGGACGGGTTTCCCAGCACCTGGTTGTGGCAGAGCAGATGAACGAGGGAAGATTTTCCGACACCTGCGAGGGCACAGAGAGAGAACAACTCCTGGGAGGTGGAGCCGGGGTTACAGGCAGCGGGGCCGGGAGCAGCGCCGACTGAGCGCGGGCGTTCCCGGCCCCTCAGCTGGTGACGGGGAAGCGGACGAGAGGCGGGTCCTCGGGAGCAGCCCCGGGCACACGGCCTGGGGACAGGGACTCACCGGAGTCGCCCAGGACCAGCACCTTGACCCTGTCCAGAGCCGCCATCTTTACCCTGCCCAGCAACAACTCCCGGAGACGGAGCCGCCCGCCAATCGCAGCCCACCTTCCTTCCTCTTCTCTCAGCCTATTGGCTGTCTCTCGAACCTCCGGCGCGTCTTTGACTTCTGATTGGTTCAGCTCGCTTGAGGGCGGGAAGGCGAGGGGCAGTACGGGAACGCGATTGGTTCACTTCGCTGTCGCTCGCGCCGCTGGGTCTCGCCGTGAGGGGGAGGGGGCGGTGCCGCGCAGGCGCGGCGGGCGCCGCTGAGGCCGGTGTCGCGCGCTGCGGTGACGCTGGTGGCGGAGCCGCTGGAAGCGCCGCCCGGAGCCGGGAAGAGCTGGAAGAGGCGCCAGGTCAGTGCCGGCCCCGGGGAGCGCGGTGGTGCCTGCGGCCCGCGGAGGCCCCCGGCCCGGCGCTCGGGTGCCGCAGAGCGGCTCGTGGGGTCCGTGCGCCCCGCACGGTGTGTCCGTCTGGGCCCCCTGCTCGCCTTGGCTCCGAACCGCCCCCCGCCACCCCTCCTGCGCTGTCTGAGGGGGCTGCCTCTTTGTCTTGTGTGGTTTGGTTTTTTAGGAAGGACTGCTGAGCTCCTCGTGCCCTACAGAAACCTACACAATCCGATGTTTAAACCTCAACACATTAAAAGTGGGCAGGGAATAGGAAGCTGTGCAGATAGCAGAAAGGGCTCTCTTTGCTTAACCTTAAAGCTTAGTCTGCCGTCAAAATCTGTACAGTTTGTAGTTTGAAGGAAGTTGCAGGATTATGGACATCTGAGGAGTAGATGACTGGCAAATCCTGCTCATTCCTGTTTGCCAGGTTTGGCTGTGGGTTGAGTCCATATGGTGAAACTATTCACTTCTCCAGGTCAGCAAGGTGGGGGGGGTTGTCTTTTTCCTTCCTTCTTTTTTTTTTTTTTTTTTTTTTTTTT